AACCCTCCCAAGTAAACCAGACAGGAAACATGACCAGATGAGCTAATTCTACTTTATTGATAGGCTACATTAACAGAATCTTGCAAGTCTGAAAGTACAAATCTCCCACCATCCCTATTTACCGCCTGATCAGTTAGGGCAGGTCCTTTCTACATTTCTTTCTCTGTCCATTCCTCAGTTGGGGGCTCCTTCCCCTTTTATCAGATCATTCCCTAGACGGCATCTCTTCCCCCACACCCAGTCTTCCAAGGTCATTTTCACATTCCATTACAATCAGACATCATACCTGTGGGTTAAGGTTGGGGACTACAATTTATGTTCGCCAATAAATGTTGTGATTGGCCAGTAGAGATCATGGAGAATTTACCAAAAGGCTGAGTTGGTATAAGATGCAAAGCTCTGGTTTACTGAACAAACCATTTCTGGCTAAGTCAACAGCATGGTAAGCTACAAAACCTGGTCTATAAACCTTAGTGGCTGAGTTGACATAACATATTAAACCATAGAAATGTGCAAAACCTTTTGAATTTTAACCATGGTGAACTGAAAAACATTCTCTTGAAAGCTTAAAATGCCCCACCTTGAACTTAAAGCAGAGGGTTGTGAGTGAAGGGTGGGTTGTACCCCACATTTTGGAAGCAACTTGAACTCAAAACATCTTCAACTTAAAATCCCTATTCAAGAACGAGCTTCCAAAATGCTTGGGACAGTCCATTTTGGAATGTAGCATTTTAATTCCAAAGGGTCCAAATGGGAAATGTATCTTCCTGCTAAACCAAAACTAAGTAAACTACATAATAGCTTAGAATGTTTTACAAATCAGGTCAAAATACAATTCCTTCCCAACCTATCCATGAAATTAAAGTAGAGGCTGGGGTTTGTTTGTATGGCTTCCATGACACTCACAGAAGTGAAGAAGAGGGATGTCAGTATTGAGAAAGGGGACCCGCATGATAGTGCATTAGCTTATGGCCACCCACAAGCTCAAATTGATGGGTACAGGTTTGCTGCTGTTGTTCTTTTAGATACCTCCTCCAAAATCCCTTTTAGAGGGAAAAAAAATACTTTGCACATGAACCATTGAGCTCCAAATAGCACTTCTGCAGAATTACAGATTATAAATAAGAATTGTTATCATTTTCTACTTCTTTACATTGTTGGAGGACTACATGGCAGTTGAATGAAGTTGTAGAACCTTGTAAAAATAACCACATGAAACAAGAGGCTACATTGTTTGAGTAAAGGAAACATATCTAAAAAGGAAACAAAGAGGTACAGGCTAGCGTCAATGGTTTTAAAAATAAATTAAACCTACCGTTTATAAATCTGTGTTCCTTTGGCAATTAGCGAGAATAGATTAACAGAAATATTCCAGATGCCAAAAGCAAACAATAACATAAGGACAGGAGCATCATTAACTGGTTCAGAAGGACCTAGTTGACCAGTTATGGAAAAAGAATGTAAAGCTGCATCAACTGATCCAGCAACGTAACTTTTATATACCTTAAGTTCCCAAGGACAAAAGTTCAGAATACAGGAACAGTTGCCAGATCTTTATAGCGTGTGTTAATTCATTTGGAAAAATCACCTCAAGGCCAAACTCACAACCTTAGCTAAAACTCCTGTTTTTACCAACAGAAAAGACAGGAAGGAAATCATTCTCTGGTCACTCCCTAGCTACAGAACGATTGAAAGGAATAATTTGCACGAAATGACTGGATTCCCGCAGCAGACTGAATCACAAGTTAGCCAGCCATGTTTTAGACTAGTGCATCGTACAGATCCAGCCAGCAATGGTTAGTTTAGGGTTCCAATGTTGTACGAACTCAGAGAATTGGGTAAATGGAGCAAATCATGGTTAGGGGAATCAGGAATACCCTTTCTCTGTTTAATCTCCAGATTGAGTTGGGAAAACCAGCATCGGCTACCGTAACCCAACACTGGGCCGTTCAGACAATGGTCTAGCTTGGTCATGGCTGGGAGGGAGACGATGGATTTTGTGGTGTTGCTAAACTGCCATTTTCTGGTTAACTCACCAGTGTGGAGAGATGATCCCAATCATCCTGGCCAATGATGAGGGAGGCCAGGAATAGTTGTTTGCTGGTGGGACTAAACGGTTTCAAAGCAATTTGCTTGATCCATACCATATGTTTATGCTAGTTTTAATGTGACTTGGTACCTTCTCTAACAACTACCTGCAGATCATAGATTGCAGCTCAAGATTCTTTAGATCACCTCCCAGCTCTCAAGCAGGATCAGACCTATTTAAGCTTGGAGCTTAACTATATGCCTTCCTTCTCTGTGCTGCAGGCAGGGAGCAACAGAGACAGATCAGCAGATTTACACTGTACCATTACCATACCCTTATAAAGCAGTACAAGGCTGTTTCCTCTTCTGAGAAGGCGGAACAGCTGAAGGGCCTGTGAAAAGCCATTTTTTTGTGGAACAGCCCCTATGAGCAGAAAAAAGTGGCTTGTGGTGCCAGGATAGAAGGGCCCTGACAGAATGAGTGCAAACAGGTTGTTGGCAAAAGAAAGCAGCCCCTATTTGAAGAGACAAGACTTCTAAAGTGAAAGAAAAAAACAAGGAGGAGGGGAGAAGCAGCCAAACACTAAAGAAGAGACACAAATGAATCATTTAAACTCTTAAGGTCAGGGCCAGGAATGGTTTGCTCTGGGTCGGAGTCAGTTCAGATTCAGAAGCACAAAAGATGCTGGAAATTCTTTTGAAAGGAATGGTATTCTGTTCCTTGCAGGACAAGAGCGTCCTGTTCTATAGTGTTCCCATGCTAAAGATTAAAAAATGGTGCTGCCAAAGCAGGTCTCTCTGGAGTTTTCCATCGACGAGTTTTATTTTCGCAACAGCAGAGCAGTGAGACAACCGCTGGAATTCAGGAAACAGGACCCACTGGTGCCCTATATTGCATTACATGAAGTTCCTGAATAAGCTACAATCAACCAGGTTCCCATGACATGTTAAGTCATAAGCCCTGCTTTATCATCCTGTTCAGTCCCCACATCAGGCTGAGCCTTCCCCACAAGCCACATTGGAGTAATAGGTCACCCCAGCTCCAAAGGAAAGGGACATCCTTACCTTCCTCTCAGCTGGTTCTAGACCAAGCTTCGTTCTAGAAGCAATTCCTTTCGTTCATACAGGAAGAAATGCTTCCTCCGAGATAGCAACCCAGATCGTTCTTTTTGCAGAACGTGCGTTTCAATCGATGCATCTTTTTTTTCAGGCCTTCCGATGCATTTGGCAAAGGATGAACAGGGGCCTCTTCTTAATCAACCCAAATGTGAGTTGAGCCAATGGTTCCATCAGGAACAGGGAGCCTGCTCCCCTCCTGCGATTTTTGAGCTACGGTTCTTAGAAGAGAAAGGCGATGGGGGCTGTAATTGAAAAAGCCCCTTTAGGTCGCTCTTCCTCTGGTTTAGGCACAGCTGTTGAACTGTGGCAACCCCTGACTTCCACTGGCATCTGGGGTTTGGAGAAAGGGTGCCAATTTTTTATTTAATTGGGCTGCATAAGCAGGTCACATCCTAAAGAGGGGTCCAGGAATGCTGAAGGACTGGATCCCAGACTGTGTGAGTTCAAGGCACCATAACTTCCCCCAAATCTGGCAGCACAAGCCACTATATCTATTTCTTCTCTGTCCTAATGGGTCTTTGGAATCAGATGGTTAGAAGGGACCTCCAAGGTCCTCTAGTCAAACCCCCATCCATGGAAAAACAAAGAAAACAGAAAGCCGGCAGGCTACATTGACACGATACTCCACACGTGGTGAGCTTGGCTCCTGGATAATTATTATTATTACTATGATTATTTTGCTCTGCTGGGCATACAGTTTATGTGCAAATCCAGGAACTGAGATTCACTGAATAAACCATGGTTATTTTAAACACAGGCAAACGTGCCCTACGAACACAGCCAGGATATCTGAAGGACCGAAGAGAGTGCAAAAAGACAGGACTGACTGGGTCAGAAACTGATGGGAGGGGAGGCAGGCTGAGGGCCTACAGCGCCTGGGGGTGCCCCATGGCTCTGCTTAGGGCTCCTCAATCACCATGGCTCTGCTGAAAACATCACCAAGAGGCGAGAAAGACACTGCACTTCGAACCTGAACGCCAGTCACTTCTCCCCTACCTTGCCAAAGGCGCATAGCTACTTGCTGATCATTTACCTGCTGCAAAATACAGAGGAACGGGGCCAGTTTAAACACCCACCCACCCACCCATATTAACCTCTCAAATGTTCCCACTTGGAGCATCTGCCAGGCCACGAAGCAAAACTTTTCCTTTCCCTTCCCGGCTTATTCATCAGCGCGGAGTCCTTTATCAGCCTCGGTGACTATCAGACAAATAAAGGCTCCCCCCTCCCACCAGCCCCCTCGGTTTCCCAGGCTGATGCCAATCGGAAAACAAACCTTTCCAGCCCTTTTCTTGGGAGTTCCCTCCGTTTCATGTCAGCTGCAATCTTGGCAGGCAGAAGAAAAGGCCTATTTCGCTTCTCCCCCCCCCCCCCCCGCAAGGCCTCTATCCTCCCCCCTCCATCAGCTCTTTCAAAAAAACACCCCACCACCACCACCACCA